ATCTGTGGTAAATTATTTAATCATGTTACTACCATAAAACTTAATTGATAAACTTTTTCAATATAATTTATTTCAGTTGTGAATAAATATTTGCTGCATATTGATTCCATCAGTTTATACAAAGATATTGGCTGTGACCTCACCACTCAACCTGTAATAGTGTCAGCATCGCCTCAAAGCCTGTGAGAAATGCAGACCTGAGGACCCCTTCCACATTCTCTATGTCAGAATCTGAAACTTACAATCTCCTGGGTGCTTCTTGAGCACTGCAATATGTTGTAAGTCAGCGAGTAGAAACTCAAATACTTTGGCCAGGTAGATCTCCAAAGTCACTTAAGCAAGGTAGATATAAATGGATAAACCTGATAAGAAGTGACCTCTGACCTTTGGCCTCTTCATAGTAGGAGTAGTGGGGACTCTGTTGACCCCAAGATCTTTGTAAGAGGCAGGCATGGGGTGGGTGTTTGACGCAGTGGTTAAGATAGCCCTTGGGATACTTGCACTCCATATCAAAACGCTCTTTGCAGTTTCAGCTAGTCTACTTCTGAACCAGGCTCCTGCTCATGTTCACCCTGGGAAGGCAGCGGATGACAGCTGAAGTACTTGGGTCTCTGTGACCTATGTGAGCAACCTGGATGGAGTTGCAGGCTCTGTTGCAGGCATTCAGAGAATGAATCAGTGGGTGGAAGATCTCTCTCTCTCTCTCTTTCTCTCTCTCTTCCTTTCAAATAAAATAAAAATATATTTTTAAAATAAATAAAATGGGCAGGCTGCCATCCAGACCTATAGCATTGCAAGCTTAATGTTATAAGATCTTTGAACAGTTCAAAAGACACAAGAAATGTGAACCTGCATGTAGAGTCTATGGGTGTAAACAAGGGCAATTCAATTCTTTTTAAAGCGAAAGAATGTTGAGGACCAAACAGAGCTCACTTGTGTGGCAGTTATTCTTGGAAGGTCTCCGGGTTACAAATGAGAATACTTTTAGGACAGCAGTAAATGCTTCCCAATTCCTCAGTAGTTCAGAATTCTTTAGTTTTATAAGTCAGAAAACTCCCTTTATTTTCTCTAACCACATCATTCATTATTTCTTTCATTAATTTACTCACCAAGTTCTCTTTAATGTCTACTCTTGCTGTATAGGCCCTGTGGCAGGTGCAGAAAACTTATAGATGGATAACAAATAATCCATGGCTTCCAAAGGCTTGTACTCTCATACTGACAACATATGTTTTTTTGAAACAGGCAATGTGTGAGTGTTGCTGCAATAATTGGTCACATCGACTTTTGAGAGCTATTCTTAAAGGTTGGACTCTGATATGAGTAACTTACTCATCTAAGTGGTGAGACAGCAGAAGGCACAGATTACTGACAATGGTGAGGAGGAGGTTTACAAGAGGATGTGGTTGAACAACAGCAAAAAAAAGAAACAAAACAAAAAACAAAAAACCCCAAAGTGAGCTCTCAACTGAATGTGATTCCTTGGTGATTTCAAAATGTTACAACCTCTTGAAACACTTCCTCAGCCTCCTAACTGCTGGCAGCCAAGAAATACTAACTTTATCTTCAGACTAAAAAGGAAAACTGCTTCACAAAAGCTCATGTACCCTAAAGACTTAATTAACTCACTTAACCACATTTTGCATATTTTCCTTTTTTTTTTTTTTCTAACTCGTTAGGTTCTCATTTACTGTTGATTTGAAGAGGTTTTTCTCTCTTCATCTTTGTTCCAGAAATTCATAATCCCTCTGGAGGAAGTAGTGACATTTGACAGAAAGCCCCACGCTGGTAACAAACACTTCAAAAGGCCTTATGCTCATTTGGTAGCATCTGTGATCATAAATGTAATAAAAATCAACTGAATATTTCATTCAAATACTGCTTTATTATCCAGTGGTGCTGAGTGAGCAAAGGTCTAATCATTATCTATTACAGTTTCTAGGACTCAATTGTCCAGCCAGGATGAAAGGAGATTTAGTTTCACTTCACCTGAGCTTTCTATTTCATTCATGCTTCTATGTTGAAGTGCTCTGATGAGAAAATCAGTAATTATTTTTCTGTGACACAAAATTATAATTTGTTCTTCAAAATACTTGTCACCAAGTGTGTCGTCTGGGATGACTCTGTCCTTCAGGATGCACTAACTCTCTGAATAGCAAGCACCTCCCTATGTAGAACTTATTTTGAGGTTTATTTTCATTGTCTCTGTTTTGACCAGGGCAGGAGTTTCACACCTCATTTTATTGTCCTTACATAATGTCTACACTCTTCATACAGTACAAAGTCTTTGCCTTCAGCAGACATGTCAGTGTTCAACATTATTTCTCTCTGATGTTTCCCAATTTCTCTTTTGTAGTCAGTAAAATATCAACCTAATTGCTGCTGCTTTGCTTATCGTAGAGAGTAGGCAGGTGAGAGTGACCCAGAAAAATCTTGATTTGATTCCATTCTCTGTGGCAGTGTTTTCATTTAAACCATCTCTCTCTTAAGTTCTTTCTCTCTCTCTCTCTCCCTCGCTCTTCCTCTCTTCGTCATAGATCACTTCTATATCTTTCTTCTCCCCGTTTAATTCTTGCATATCAGCTAGTGACTTTTTGCTCCCATGCCCCTATTTTGCTTAACGTACATCAGTGAGTTTTCACTAGCTGAAAGAATAAAGCTCAGACTCTACAACTGACGTAGGCACTGCTTTATATTGTGTCTCCTGCTTAGCCTTTTATGGCTGTACCAGCCACCCTTCAACTACTTCTGATGTCTGAATGAGACAATCTTGACTTCCCTACTTGGCTTTTCACCTTGCTAAAGAGAACACTCCACTACCTTCCACTGTCTCTCTGCCTGTTGTTCCCTCCCCCTTTTCCTGTGTGTCTTCCCTGGGGCATGTTGCCACCTTGCACTTGCTTTGAGAGCACAGTCTATGGAAACTGTCTCCCAAGATTCCAATCACAGCTCCTGCACTTATTAGTTCTGGATCTCAAGTAAGTCATTCTGCCTCTTGGGTGTTTTAGTTTCCTCATCTGTGGACTGGCATAATGTTAGTGCTTACCTCACCAGGTTGCTGTGGAAATGGAATTAATAAACACCTACAAATAACTTATATGTAAGTATATAATAAATTATTATGACTAATCCAGAATCTTCGCAAGTTATTAATATCATATTTCAGTCAACTTAAGTATAATGAAAAGCAAACTTACTATAAGAAAAGATTATAAAGAGAAAACATTCCAAAGCCAAATATAAATTATTTGTGGATTACCAACTAACCAGGACTAGTAATTTTCTGTCTCTTTTGCTGATCAGGATAATCAACATATAGTTTTTGAACTTGAAAATTAAAACTAATGGGATTTAAATTAAGGAGTATCTACATCCAAAAGAAGAAATAGAATGTAAAAGTAGTAATCATATAATGACTCTACTGCTTTCCCAAACTGAGTTAAATATTTTATTGATTATTACCAATATTCAGCATTTTCAGGAGAATTTTTATCATAAAATACTAGGAGAATGAATATTTGACAGTGTACAAGATATAGTGGTTCAGACAAACACTGTACCAGTTAGCATAGACAAACTAAGACTCTGCCGTTTCCAGTACCAATTTCTTGGGTTTGAAGTTCCAAGTTGCACATAGAATAACAGGAGATCATGATGACCAAGAGAAAGTATGTGTTTTCAGTTCCTTTCTGGGATGCTACTTCGATTTCAAGTTGGCTCTGAGGCCAGATCATGTTTCTAATTAAAGCAGTCATCCTGGGCTTCTAGAAAGAGTCCTGATGCTGTGATACCCAGACAATTTAAAGGTTGGGAACAGAGTTGGAATTTAGTGAAGATTTTAATTTTAAGTAAAAACCGGTTCCCTTGTTGAAAGTGTGCTGAAACCAAAAAAGGTCTGAGGAACTGTCAGGTGGGAACCTCTTTGACTTCCCAAATGCCAGGGCTATAATCTTCTGGGGCCAGTGCTAAACTGCTGACCTCCTCTGGATTGCACTGAAGGATTAGGAGGTAGTCAGGGCCTGTTGAGAGTGAAAGTATCCAATAATTTTCATATCCCTGATTTACCCAGAGCAATGGAAGAAATAGGGAAAATTTCTGGAAATCTGGGTCTTGTGGTTATCCTAAAGTTGGAGTTAGAAGAAATAGTGAATACCAAAAGGGGTAAACAGATTTTGTTATAAATGATTCCTCTCCCCTGCCCTTTGTGTGTGTGTCTTAGTCTATCTTTCTTGTATGTTGATGGCTTTTTCTATCTTCATATGTTAAGTGTGTGTATAATGCTCATAAGACCCATGCAATAAGAAAAATTCCTACATACGGCAAACAACTCTGATCCATTAAATTATCACTGTATTGTAAATTATGATGTTATCTCATAAGATTGCAGTGTTTATGAAATCCATGTGTGTTGAGAATATTAATATTTTCACAATAATTCATAACATTTTACATTCCCAGTATTTTACTCAATAGGAAGGTACTTTGAAAAATTTGTAGAAAATATGATGAACACTGTACATGAATTTCTAAAATTTTCTTACATCAAAATAAATATATCTCTTGATTCCATTTTTTTTCAAAAAACTTTTTGAAGTCTCTTCCTAGATACATCTACATTTACTGTGAATCTGAACATGATTTGTTGCTTTGCCTTTGGAGCTTTTCAATTAGAAGCCTATGTTTGAGAGCTGAAACAAAAATCTAATTTTGTTTCTTCTGTGAAATCTGTCAGGGTGTTTGACTATGCATTCAAGAAGTAATGGATGATCATCTATGCTACATGCTAATTACTGTTAAGAATTTGTGTCTGACAGAAAAAAATAAGATGTGGACTTTTGCTCAAAATATTCCCTATTGAATCTTAATGTTTACACATGGTACAGTCTACTGTTACTTGCAATAATATACTTGTATCATTAACTATCTACTTAAATGAAATTTAAACATTTATTTCTCCTCACCCTACTCCTGATTACATCTGGGGCATGTTTTCTGTGAAGCTGAGTCATCCCATGGTGGCTATTCCTGAACACGACAGTCTTGATTCCAAAGAGGTAAATGTGAAATACAACTGGAGACTTAATTATCCATTTCCAGGTGATATTTAGAAATAAACAAATGTTATTTTTTTTACATGTTAGCAAAATCATGATAAAAAAAATGTGACCAACTGGCTCCCTTTGTGTTGTCTGAAAGCATTTATTAGTTGCATAAGTAAATTTTTGCTGCTTCTCAATGTGGAAGGTGGTACAGGCTCTCCTGCTGTGTGTAACATCATGACCTCAAGCCAACTCATTCTAATCCAAGTGTCTGTCTTTGTGATTTACTCTTTGGGTTTGTAAACGAAACCACTATTATCTTCTCTCTCTCGAGTGTTAGTGGATGTCCTAGAATGTATGTGTTGTCTTTTGGGAGTCAGATGTCCCAGTATCAACTAGTATCTCAGTTGGGTTCACAGGCAACGGACTACTTAGCCTACTGAATCCCTTCCCACCTCCACCCAGTGAATTTTGTGTGTAGCATGGAGCATATAGGCAAAAGCTTACTAGCTCATTCATGATCTCCAAATTTCATGCACGTGATTAACCACCTTCACATTGGAGCTGACAAACAAGAAGTTTTTGAAAAACCTTCTTTTATTTTCATAAGTGCAGCATAACACAGAGACAAAGAAAACATTTATAAAGGGATATTATCTCTATGGCTTAATTGTGCATTCATCAAGAGCAGGAATAATTGAACAATGTTTTCTTCTTCTGCATCCTCTCTGATGAAGTAGAAAATGTGAGATAAACAGTGATATTTAAAGTGGCTGTCTGTAAGAAGGGAGTGGATGAGCCCACATATTCATTTTAGATAACATCATAGTGAAGTGTGCTTCATTTTCATTTCGCAGCCTCCAAGTTTAGAAAAAAGAACGAAGCATAATATAAAAGAAAAGTAGGAATTATTTTTAAGGCAATATCCTAATCATAGCATTATTGATTCTATGAGTATAGAAAAATGGAAGATTTTTGACACATTTAGCTAGGTTGCTATCCTGAAAACTTGCAGCAATTTACCCTACTAGGGGTGTGTTACTACACCTGTGCCCATGCTCTCTTGCTATGATAATTAGTGTAATTACCAACTTACTGAAAGCTCACTATATGTTAGAAACAGTGTTATGCATGTCAACTTACTTAATCTTCACAAAAATATTCTATGTTCAATACTATTATTATTGCTATTTTGCAGATGAGGAAACAGCCTGAGGGAAGAGTCTTACTCCAAGTCAGCTAGCTTAGAAGTGTCTCTACAGTCAGGAAATGAATCCAGATGTGATTGAGCCTCTGCTCTTAAGTACTGAACTATACTCTGTGCAGTATCCAATACCTTTAAAGCCTTAATTTAGTTAAATACCTTTATGTAAATTTTTCTTTCTTTATTTCTTCATATACTGTTTACATCTTTCCCTTTTTAAATTTTTCATAAATAATATATTTTATTGTGTAGTAAGCCTCCTTTTCATAGCAAAGATATTTTATGTCAAATAAGTTAGCCCTTTCAGTGTGATGATGTTCAAAAATAATTAAAGCAAAAAAAAATTTAAGTGAATAAATTTTGTACATTTTGGATGAATATAAAAATCAAATGTTTTTTAAGCACGATCATTTTTGTTCAACTTCATATAGGCTATATTTACACTCAGCCATATAAAAGAATGAAATCCTTTCTTTTGTAATAAAATGGATGCAACAGGAAACCATTATACTCAGTGAAATAAGCCAGTCCCAAAAAGACAAATACCATATGTTTTCCCTGATCTGTCGTTACTAATAGAGTACCTAAAATGTAATGCCTAAGAGTGAAATTGGCATTTTGAGGTTCTATGATTGTTTACAGTCCTTGTCTCTATTGTTGAGGAACAATGTTTTTTTTTTTCCAACTTATTATTTGTTGAACTCTTTATTTTGGTGGGGTTCATTTTATGAGCATAAAGTAAACTGAAAGTAGATCACTGTAAAAATTAAGGGTGGTACTAGGAGAGGAAGAAGGGTGGGAGCATGGGCGAGAGGGAGTGTGGGTGAGAGGGAGGGCGGGGTGGGAAGTATCACTATGTTCCTAAATCTGTGTACATGAAATACTTGAAATTTTAAAAATTCTACCTTTAGAAAAAGGTTTTCTACACAATAAGAAAAATAAGTTGGTTATTTGAATAATAAAACATCTGGTTCATATAATAAATGATGAATTGAACATCTTTAAACATTTATTTATTTATTTGAGAGGCAGAGTTATAGACAGAGAAAGGAAGAGACAGAGAGAAATCTTCCATCTGCTTGTTCACACCCCAAATGGCCACAATAGCTGGAGCTGGGCGGATCTGAATGTAGGAGCCAAGAGCTTCTTCCTGGTCTCCCATGCAGGTGCAAAGGCGGGGCCGTTGCTTTTCCACTCCATAGCAGAGAGCTGGATCAGAAGTGGAGCAGCCAGGACTAGAACTGGCACCCATAAGGGATGCTGGTACTGCAGCCAGAGGCTTAGCCTACTACACCCCAGCACTGGCCCCAAGAATTTTTTTTTATATAAAGATTTATTTTATTTAATTGGAAGTCAGTGTTGGGGGGGGGAGAGGGAGAGGGAGAGGGAGAGGGAGAGGGAGAGAGAAGAGAGAGAGAGAGAGAAAATGAATCTTCAATCTGCTAAAACATTCCCCAGATGGCTTAATAATCAGCGCTGGGCCAGGCTGAATCCAGGAGCCAGGAGTTTTTCCAGGTCTCCCACATGGGTGGTAGGGGCCCAGGTATTTGGGTCATACTCCACTGCTTTCCCAGGCCATTAGCTGGGACTCCAACCTGTGCCCACATGGGAAGCTGGCACTGCAGGTGGAGGCTTTACCCCCTATGCCACAGCGCCAGCCCGTTTTGCATTTATTATACTAACTTTAACAACCACTGCAGACAAAGCTTAAAATTAAGCTAGTGAAAAGATTGCCCCCCCAAAAAGATTTTGATTCTAATCTGCAGTATCTGAGAAATGCCAAGAAAGAAACTGTATGAAATTTCACATTTGTGTGTGTCGCTGTTAGTATTAAAAGAAACTTAAGTAATTAAACAAAAGTGCCACATTTCACTTTTGAATAGCATTGGCACATATTAGAGCAATTTAGCAACTTTTACAATTCCTCATGTATGTGATCAGACCTTAATATTGATCCAAATATTTTCTTCAAATCCTCTCTGGGTACTTATTTACCTGCAAAACATCAACCAAGAAAAACATCTGCTTTCATAAAGCAATGCAATCTCATGATTCTATGGCCTAAGGGGGCAAACCATTCCAGTTGCAAACCCAGTGAAAACAAAGAATTAAGGAAGAGCCCTGGATTGCATCTCAGGATCTTTCCCTTGCTTTTTCTTTCATTTACCCTTACCCTCACATTTGACAACAAACCTATCAAATTGACTTTCTTGGAGCTGGATTTTTATTTTAATTTTTTAAAGATTTATTTGTTTATTTGAAAGAATTATAGAGAGGTAGAGACAGAGAAAGAGTTCTTCCATCTGCTTGTTCACTCCCCAGATGGCCGCAATGGCCGGAGCTGAGCCGACCCGAAGCCAGGAGCCAGGAGCTTCTTCCTGGTCTCCCTTGTAGGCCATCTTCTTCTGCTTTCCCAGGCCATAGCAGAGAGCTGGATCAGAAGAGGAGCAGCCGGGACAAGAACTGGCACCCATATGGGATGCTGGTGCTTCAGGCCAGGGCTTTAACTCGCTGTGCCATAGCGCTGGCCTGAGCTGGTTTTTTAGTGAACCAAATTACGCTGCTGTTTGAGAGGCTCCATAAGGGAGTTTGTTGTTTAAGTTCTGACTGCTCCACACTTCCAATCCAGCTTCCTGCTAATGCACCTGGGAGGCAGCTGATGATGTCCCGAGTACTTGGGTTCCTGTGAAGCACATGTTAGACCCAGATGGAGATTCTGACTCCTAGCTTCCACTTGGTTTAGCTCCAGCTCTTGAGGACATTTGAGTAGTGAACTAGCAGATGAAAGATTGATTCTCTCTCTCTCTGCCCTCTGCCTTTTAAACAAACAATAACTTAAAAAGTAATGACTTTCTTGTATTGTAACCCCTTAGTCTATGTTGGGAAAATCGAAAAAAAAAATCTTTCTGCCAATGCATAAATCCTCTTTACAAAGACGATAGGGAAAAAGCACACTTTTATTTTTATAAGTACCAACCAGAATGCTATTGCCTATGCGCATCATAGGCAATCTGCTAAGAGATTACAAATACAGGAAGCAATCTCACCCTTTATATAGCCAAGCAGATTTAGCCCCATTATATACATATTCTCAAGATAAACAATAACTCATCCTCAAGTAGGAGGAAATGACAGTACCATTTATCACACATAGTTCATCCTAAATTTACCTGGTAATTGGGGCAAGCATTTGTGTCTGTCTTCACACAAAGGAAAAATAAACTTTTCCTATATTTAGGATGGGAGAAAGTTTCACAACTGTGAGTCACATGTCAACGAAATATAGGGTCTCAGCCTCCTGGAAATTAGGAGATAGGGGCCTCTCTTCCCTGGATTTTACCTTCATTCAAAGGAGGTCATTCTTAAATCCTTGAGAAAGACTTTATTGTTCTGATAAAAGGCTCATCTAGTTTTCAAAAGGAATTATTTTCATTTCAAAGAGAGGAGTTTGTATTTACAAGACAAGGGCTTTTTTTTTTTTTAAGTGAATGCTCTAAGAAAAAAAAAAAAAAAAAGACAAATGAGCCCAGGAAAATCACTTCCCTTTATTCAAAAGGGAAATAATGAAGCTCTTATTTTTGATTTCCATATGTACCTACACATGGTTGGGCCTTTCTAAGACTGAAAGCTCAGAAGACTTTGACTTTGAAAGAGACAATAAAAAGAAACCTGTCTTACTTATTTGCTCTTCCAGAAACCCAGTTAAATCTTTTTTAGGAGGTGTGTGTGTGTTGTGTGTGTGTGTGTGTGTGTATGTGCATGTGTGGCGGGGTGCTGGGGAGGTGGAGGGGTTAAGAATTTTGAAGTCTCACCTTCAAAGTCATCTCTAAAGATTGAAGTTGGTATGGCAGATTGCAGTGAGTCTGTAAAACTGAGCAGAAGTCAAGAACTAAAAGGACTTAACACTCCTCTGCATCAATGCTTGGGAAAACTATTCCTAGTTTTTCAAAAAAAGCAATAAAGTCAGGGTTAATAGCTATTTGGAGCTCAGGTCATTCAGTATCAGGTGATTTTGATTCCAGATCAATGTTTTGCTCTCTCTAGAGCTATTGTACTGGCATTTTTTATCTATCACACTGTATATATTATAGTGCCTGACAGCTTTGTATTAGATCATGTGTTTTCTTACCACAGTTCATAGTTCCATAAGTGAACAAAATACAGTTACAATCTTTTAGAAAAAAAGCAATATGCAATGTGATGTTTTGATATATATTCTCTAGAAGTGGCTTTTTTCTGGATATGTGAAATCTGGTTTCATATTTATAAGAACATACATGTATTTTGCTTTCATTTGGCAGGAAAAAAGTATACATATTTGGCTTTGCAAGAAAATGGAATGTAAAACTAATCTCTAGAACATATTCTTTTAAAAAGTTTTCTGGTGTTGGGTTTCACAATGCTACATTAATTATTAACCAAATTAACTTTAAACAAAAAGAAATTTTTGGAATTTAGTTCCCTTCAGAATTATGACATGCAAAGTATTATAAGTTCTTTCTTACTTACTTATATTTCTTACTTATTTATATTTTACTTTCTTTCTTACTTATATTTTGTTACATCCAAAATAAGTGTGCTATTCAATTGGAAAAGTGGGAAAATCTTGAGCCTTAAGTGTCAAAGTGCTAGTCTAAAAATAAGGATTTATATATTTATATAATGGAATTTATCTTCATGCCTATCATTGTTATTCCCAAGTTATTTAGCTCTTTACCCATGTTAAGATGGGCAAAAGAAAGTAAAACTTTCATAAACTGTCTAAAATGATGCCTCTGCTTTTCATTGTATAATCCATCATTTCCAATCAGCTGGGGAACTAGATGCCAAACATTACTTTGATCCACCAGTGGGTTCAGAGAGGACTGACAAATTGTGCTGAGTTTGCCAGTGTGGTATCAGAGGATTGACTACCTATGCTTCTTTAATCTGATTTAATTATTTACATAATTATAAAATATTATATTTGAAAGAGTTTTTAAAGGCATTTCCTTCAATATTTCATTTAATGTGATAATCTTGTCTACAAAATGTATCTTTATATATGAAGATAGTTAAAAATTAATGGAAAATATAATTAAAAATGTATATTTTGGAGAAAATTTATTGAAATCCATGCTCACTTGGAGTCTTCAGAAATTTAATGGAAATGGGTATCATGAAAAAATATTCATAGCTTTTACACTCAAATAAGCTTATTTTTAATTCCATTTCTCCTTGAATTTTTTGAAATACTTGTGTATCTCCTATTTGTATTCATCTGAAGATAAAGTGTTTACCACTTCACAAGGCAGACTCAATTTATGTTTATTATGACTAAGAAAAATGAAATAATGACTATATGAACAGCAAAAACAAATAGAAGGGACTGAATAAACTTCCATTTAATTTGAAGTACTTTGGCCTTGGCCATGATATTTAATTTTCTTGAACCTCAATTTCATTATATGTACAATGAGATCAAAAGATTATGATGAAGATCTGTGCTACTGTATAGAAAGTACTTAACATATAAAATATGTAACACTTAATGAGTGTTAGCCAAAGGACAATATATTTGAATCTCTTATAATAATATCAACTAAATGTTGATGATTTCAGGAAAATGAAATTAATGTTGATTTTTGTTTGTTAAAAAATAACAGGATAATTTAGTCATTTCCTTCTGTCATTCTAGAGCTTCACAGAATGAATCCAAGGTGATAAAAGTACAACTCATTTCTCTCTCTCTCTTTTAGAGGTTTATTTATTTGAAAGGCAGAGTGTCAGAGAGAGGGAGAGGGAGAGAGAGAGGGAGAGAGGGAGGGAGAGAGAGAGAGAAAGAGAAAGAGAGAGAAAGGAAGAAGGGAAAAGAGAGACTGAGAGAGATTGATCTTACAATTTCTAATTTTCTGGTTCATTCTCCAAATGCCCCACGAGAGCTGGGGGTAGGCCAGGCAAAGCCAGAAGAGTCAGGAACTCCATCCAGATCTCTCACATGGGTGGCAGGAACCCAAGTACTTGACCCATCATCTCTGCTTCCTAGTTGCATTAGCAGGAAGCTGCATCAGAAGTACAGAGTAGCTGAGACTCAAATCAGAAACTCAGACGTGGGCTTCAGGCATCTTAAACAGAGGCTTAACCTGCTGTACCACAACACCTGCCTCAACTCACTTATTTCATAACTCAATTTTCCATGATCAGAAAAATCAGTATAGTAATATAGTTACTCCCAGGTCTCCACGCTTTGGCTTTATCTCCTCTTCTCGTCTAACAAATGCAGTTTCTCATAATGGCACAGAATATATGTTTCATAATCTTGTTTAGCTACTTGGCCATGCTATCCTCAGGGTTCCTGCTGATTTATTTTTCTGATTTAGTTACCCTTTGCACATAATCAGTGTCCTCCATGGAGCCAGCTCTCTTCCACAAGTCTCCCACACCCCTACTTATTCACCCCATGATGGGGCCCAGGGCATAGCAAAGAGAGTTGCCTACAGGAAAGCAATAGACCCTTTTATTCTTCCCCAGCCATTTTGTCATGCTCCATCAGCAGCCAAAAGTTGGGACCTGGAAAGAGAAAGTTCTGGCCCTTTCCTCCTTTGGGGTCATTCCTTACCATTCCCATTGTTCTATTAAGTAATGTTTTGAAACTAAAATTCTCTTCTTGCCTCATCTCTGAGGTTTTCTTTTATATTTTCTTTTGTATAATTTGCCTCCACAGTTGGTAATAACCATATCTTTTCAGTTAAGTTTATCTTATCTGTTCTAGACAGTCTAACTCTATCAAACAGAGATTAAGTGGATAAAGAAATTATTGAATTCACTCCCCCACCACATAGCAACATTATAAAGCCAAAAAAATCAATATACGAAGAAAAAGCAAGAGGTTCTTTTCTGTCTCTCTGTGTTGTAATATTCCATTCACTTTAAGTCCTTGTTTAGATGCTACATTTTAGGGAATGATGCAGTCAATATTAAAGGAATGATAAGGTAGCAGCAAAATAATGAGAGGGTGAGGGACTGTGGGTAGGAAACGATAATACTGTTCCTTAAGGCTGCCAGCCCCTCAAAGCCATCACGACTCCTTGTAGGAGGTCAGAACAGCTCTGCTTAGCTCTCAAGAGATTAGAATCTTATGTGAAGGTACAGCCAGGAGTCTTTATTATGCCATTAACCATGTAACAAGAAAGCAACAACTGGACTAATAACAAACACAGTTCCTCATTATTTTTTCTATGAGATGCTATGCCTAAATATTAATGTATAATTTTAAAGCACATTTTCTAAGTTTATTGAACTATATCAACCTTTTGTTTCTCTTATTTTGCAGCAATGAAGTTGGAACAGAAGTTGAAAACACAGGCTGCTGGTTTTATGGAATGCTGGTGTTAACCACTTGCTAGATTAAATTATTTTTCAGAAGGAGTGCTCCCTTTCTGAACTGCAGTGCAGCAGAGGCACTAAACAAAGTTTGCTGTAGACATATAGCATCACAGTCCTCTACTAACACCCAGCATAGAAAAGATTTACTTACAGCTTCTTGCATCTTTGATAAAGCCTTTAATGCCTTCTATTATGCTGACAGCAATACTAATGTGACCTATATTTAGCCGGAAAATAAAGAAGAATCATGGGTAAATAGAAGAATGGATGTGACTGTTTTTCAACATTAGTTTGTTTAAAGCATATGTTATTAACATATCAGGATTTTATTTATTGTTTGATTTACTTTTTACATATAAAAAATAAGTTGCAAAAACCTATTTCCTTCCTGCTCTCAAGGAAAACTAATTATTTAGGGGTCCACTGGGGAGAATGCGAACATGAGAAGGTTGACATTTCATGTAACACAACAATGATTTTTTCTGTTCTGTGCTGCTGGAACAGACTGTACCAGGGACATCCCAATGATGATGAGGTTTTTCCAGAATCACTCTTTGTTTGATTGTCATCACATTATTCTCATGAAGACTACTTAAGAGGCAGTTTGTACCCACAATCTGAAAGGCAGCAGAAACTACAGAGCAAATCCACACTGTGATGAAACTCCTGGAGCCCATCAGAAGTATATTTGGATCTTAGCTATTGATAGCTGATACTCCCCAGCTTAGAGCATTTTGCTTTCATAAGACTGGGTAGGCCCTTTCTTATGTATGGGTATATTTGTTGACTCATGTTTATCATTTATAACAATTTCTTTCTCTGCTATAGGCATACATTATTTATTTAGTGTTTATATTTTGCTTGAATATTTTTAAAGATTTTCTGCATATATCTTCAATAAATGTAAATGGTATTGTTTATATTCTACTTCTGTAGCTTTTCACTCAGCAGTATGCTTTTTTTTTTTTTTTTTGACAGGCAGAGTGGACAGTGAGAGAGAGAGACAGAGAGAAAGGTCTTCCTTTGCTGTTGGTTCACCCTCCAATGGCTGCCGCGGCCAGCGCGCTGCGACCGGCGCACCGCGCTGATCCGATGGCAGGAGCCAGGAGCCAAGTGCTTTTCCTGGTCTCCCATGGGGTGCAGGGCCCAAGCACCTGGGCCATCCTCCACTGCACTCCCTGGCCACAGCAGAGGGCTGGCCTGGAAGAGGGGCAACCGGGACAGAATCCGGCGCCCCGACCGGGACTAGAACCCGGTGTGCCGGCGCCGCTAGGCGGAGGATTAGCCTAGTGAGCCGCGGCGCCGGCCAACAGTATGCTTTTAAGTTCTCTACACATTGCTCAGTAGATGTCTAATGGGTTATTTCTTCCTAGCTGTATAGTGAGGTCTCATCACATTTCACCTACTTGTCTACCCTGTCTCCCAGATTATCTCCTTGTATCATGACCTGTTGTGATGTACATTATTGTGTGTGCTTCCTTGTGGAACCTTGTGAAAATTTCTCAAAAATATGGGACTAGCATTGTTTAATTCTAGAGTATGTATCTGTTATTTCACTAAGTTCTTCCAGATTGCTCTCTAGAAGGGATAAACCATTTTTATTTCCACCATCATCACATTAAAGCCTTTAAATCCTTAAATCCTCCACCTTTGAAGATCTGAGCTTTGAAACATTAGGGTATCCTACCATTTTAGACAACCTTTAAAATGGAAAGGTTGCTTTTAACATGGTATCGTAGTCATCTTAAACTTTCCATTTTCAAGGCATTTTATACCCTTTAAATCACTGCAGTTGTAAGTTAAGTATTATACTCATCAAAACTTGAGCCTGCAGTGTTACTTGATGGAGTCACCAAATTAGTGAATGACAAACCTAGCACAATGTCTTTTGATTAACTACTGTGTTGTTTTCACAAAAGCATTCTGCATCCAGACACTGTGATCTGATTTATTTGTTAAGTATCTCACCAAAGACCCTAGTTTTATAGGCACGAGCAAAAGGAGAGCACATGTTGGCTGTGGGGAGAACATGGGACATGGAAGCTGGTGGTTGTTTTGATTGCTGAATGCAGCAGTCAGTGTGCTGAGGAGACTGAGAATACCAGGGATATTTCTGAGTAGGAAAGGGGCAGAAACAGGTGATAAGGAATAGACCAGTGGTGAGGCTGTGTCTTTATTTGGATCCCCCCCAGGAAGCTTGACTCTTAAGTCAGGGATTTAGTGTAAGCTTATTTGGAAGATGATCTCTAGAAATACTGAAGAGTAAGCTAGAGAATGGAAGGATCCAGTAAAGGATGTGTTTAAAAACCAGTTACTAAAATGCACAACTGGAGTTCATTTCCACAGAAAAATATGAGGACACATTATTTTCTTATGAAATTTTAATTAGGGGAAATGGTAAATCTGTTGAATGTTGTTCTGTTTAGTGTCTACCGTGCAAGAAGAAAAAGTTAATTGAAAGCTTAAGTAACAAGGAACTATTATCAGAGTTTTGTCTATGGACCAATAAAAACTTCTGTAAATAGAAACAGGAACAAAAGTCCTTCTGAACTAAACTGTTGTGGATTTGCACATTTGAACCCTTTATCAACTGGAAATTAAATAAACTATGTGGGAAAAATAAGTTGGTTAGTAACGAGATTGTTTTGCTTAGGGAAAGCCCAGGTGCCTTTGAACTATTAATTAATAATTAAGAAATATTTCTAAATTTATTTAAAATATATGTTATATTTTGTGCACTTTCCACATACTCCCATGTTATACAATTAGCATTATATTTCATTATGCTTTAAAATGTATTATACTGTTTGACTAGAAATCAATATTTATTTTATACTTCAATGAACATACTTTAATTTCTTCTTATAAATGTTTTCTAATGGATTTATTTGCAATTGCCAAGAGCACTTAAGCATCTGAGCCCAGGTTTTCTGAAACTCTTGGAGTAAATTTAAAAAATGAAACCACACAATAGGCAGAGGAAGGTCCATAAATAATGAAACAAAGATAAAAATTTCCAGGGGGCTATAGATTGTGGCTCAGAAATACTGAGCAGAATTTCTAAAATAAAAGCAATGACAGAATGAACTAAAAAGAAAAAAATAAAATTCCTGTGTCATATTCAGTCAAGGGCATGTTTTGTGGCAGGACTTAAAGAGAGGCAAAGACTAAGAGCCTTTTCAGATTTGAGCTGTTAAACCACTCACCAGAGTAGGAATTCCAGAGATTCTTACAACTGTTTTGGTCATAGGCAGAATCTTTTTTTTTCTTTTAAATTAATATTACTTACAACATAAAGATAATTGAAAATGAATCTTGATGAAGAATGGGATGGGAAAGGGAGTGGGAGATGGGATGGTTGCGGGTGGGAGGGAGGTTATGGGGGGAAAAGCTGCTGTAATTCAAAAGTTGTACTTTGGAAATTTATATTTATTAAATAAAATTGAAAATAAACAAATCTTTTAATTATTACCAATAAACACACCTTTGGAAACAAAATTCCTTTCTTCTCAGCCAGTCCAGATGGGTAGCATACTATGCAAGAAAATTCTTCTCAAATTAGCAAGATCTTCTTCCAGGTGAGTTGTTATTGAACTATAGGCAGAATTCTTTATTTTCATTTGGTCTTTCAAAAAAATTGGCCGGCGCCGCGGCTCACTAGGCTAATCCTCCGCCTTGCGGCGCCGGCACACCGGGTTCTAGTCCTGGTCGGGGCGCAGATTCTGTCCCGGTTGCCCCTCTTCCAGGCCAGCCCTCTGCTGTGGCCAGGGAGTGCAGTGGAGGATGGCCCAAGTACTTAGGCCCTGCACCCCATGGGAGACCAGGATAAGCACCTGGCTCCTGCCTTCGGATCAGCGCGGTGCACTGGCAGAAGCGCACCGGCCGCGGCGGCCATTGGAGGGTGAACTAACGGCAAAGGAAGACCTTTCTCTCTCTCACTGTCCACTCTGCCTGTCAAAAAAAAAAAAAAAAAAATGCTGGCTTAGTTGCAGCTCTATCACAACAGATGATTTTCAGGTTAATATATGTTTCACTGTTTCTCTACATGGTAGCACTTTTCTACTCTGATTTTTGTAAACTTCTGTTATGTCACACTGTTTTAAAAAGTCTAGTGTGATTTGTGAATCATTTCAGGAACACTTACTAAATCACTCTCAAAAGCACCTGTACAATGTTGCCTCTTTCTAAGCCTGGCTTGAACTATATACCTACTTGCTAAGAGAATTTCAATATCTTCAATATAAATTTCCGTGAATTCCCAATGATTTATATTTTCCTTAACCTCCTCTAGTACAAATTCCCAACTTCTGTGAAACATTCATGTTCTCCTTTGTATTTTGCTGCTGTACTCTTAAGAGTGTCTTCATTATGGCTCACAATCCCTTTACTAAACAATCCCCATATAAAGTAACATCCAACAACATACATAATAGACTTTTGTTGGAAATTTGAGAGCATTTTGAAGACTGGAAACAAAAAGATTTATAACACAGTATCAAAGGTTAGACTATTTAAGTTGGATTATAGACTTCCCTATTGTTAAAAGAGCATAGACGATTGATACTACATCGGTGTATTTGGTTTCTACCTTGGGGCGTGTGGTCTTTCTCTCATTTTCTTTCTTCTTAGCTCCACACCACCCACAGATTGCTTCTTGTTTTTTACACAGTTGTAATTTATCTTTCTTGGATCTCCCCCCCCCCCACCATCCAAGCAAGTGACATATTGATTTTCCTAAATAAAAATATTCTTTCCTCAGAGCCTATTGTTTTACCTCTGAAGTAAAAGACTAAGTTATGCCATTGATTCTCAGAAAATAGTACAAAAAGTTTTAGTTAAAAATCAAGAATAGCTTTTCCTCCTCCTCCCTTTAATGATTATATCACATATTAAACTGAGCAAATCAGAATCATCATAGTAAAACAAAATAAAATCCCAAACCCAAATCCAAAACTTATTGTGTTGGTCTACTTTATAATTGCTCATTTAGGTGTCCTCTGTTCAAAGTGACATCTACAGGACACAGAACTCTAATGAGAGGCTGCTCTTTAGCTCCTTTTACTTACTCAGATTTTCCATTTTCTCAGCTCATCCCAGTTCATAACATGTAAGATTCTCCCTCATTGCCAGACCCTTTCAGGAAAGCAACTTGGGTTTGACAGTATCCTGAGCTCTAATATGACACTTCCTCAAAGGGTTTATCCCACAGTTCCCATACTCTATCCTCTAATTCTCTGGTGCAGCTGTGGAGATCGCAGGTGCTTGGGTCATTTATGCAAGAAAGGGGTAAGGGTTTCCTAGGTTGAAACCATATGGGGGCCACTGCTGTGGTGTAGCAGGTAAAGCCACCACCTGAAGGGCTGGCAGCCCATATGGGTACCGGTTTGAGTCCTGGCTGCTCCACTTCCAATCTAGCTCTCTGCTATGGCCTGTGGCAGCAGTAGAAGATGGCCCAAGTCCTTGGGCCCCTGTACCTGTGTGGAGATCTGGAAGAAGCTCCAGGCTCCTGGCTTCAAATTGGCACAGCTCTGGCCATTGCAGCCAACTGGGGAGTGAACCAGCGAATGGAAGACCTCTCTTTCTCTCTCTCTCTGTTTCTCTTTCTCTCTCTCTCTCTCCATCTATCTCTCATTCTCTCTATGTGTAACTCTGATTTTCAAATAAATAAATAAGCCTTAAAAAAAGAAACCATATAGGAATCCCCATCAGTGATCATGTGTTGATAAATAAGCTATGATGAAAGTGACTTATGCTTCCCACTTTATTTTAGAAGTTTTTAGTAATATTGAGACAAACAGTATTGATTTGAAATACTCTTGATTGAAAATACACTTGACTTTCTGGAA